TTTATGTTGGTGGAATGTAGATGAAAGTTATATCAGCTATTCGTTTATGGAGCTATTGTATAAAAGCATAATCTCATTTGCAATCGTACTGTTGTTTTGAATAGTGGTGTGTTATTGCTTAAGTAACATGAATACAGATTGCAAAGATAGCTAAACTAAATATAGAAAAGAGTAATTTTACTGAAAGAATAGCATACTTTTAAAAAAATGTTTAAAATGAGTTACACACACACACACACACACACACATGTTGGTGGAATGTAGATGAAAGTTATATCAGCTATTCGTTTATGGAGCTATTGTATAAAAGCATAATCTCATTTGCAATCGTACTGTTGTTTTGAATAGTTGTGTGTTATTGCTTAAGTAACATGAATACAGATTGCAAAGATAGCTAAACTAAATATAGAAAACAGTAATTTTACAGAAAGAATAGCATACTTTTAAAAAAATGTTTAAAATGAGTTACACACACACACACACACACACAAACATGAAGTGAGAAAAAGTTACATAAAGTTGAAAGAAAGAATGAATGAATGTTGAGTTCATGTTGAAATTAGATTTTCAGACTGGTAACGGTGACCTCTAGTGACTAGTAGTGAGGCATGTAACAAAATTCCAACCTGCTCTGGCCTGTCAGGATATTATGTCTTTCTCTGCGTCCTCAAGGGAGGTGGACTGGTATGTCTTCATTTAATGTTTACCAAAATCAAATGACTAATTGACTAATTTATCTGCTATCCTTTCACTTGTGTTTCCTTCCTTCCTGTTAAGCATTTAAACTGCTTCAGTAAACACAGTTTAAATACGTGGGTGGGATAGAACTAGACATTTGATAGTAGTTACATAAGCCTTAAAGCTGCAGAACATTTCACCCAATCAGTGTCTTCAAGGGGCTTCAGAACAGAATTTCAAGTGTGGCTCTACTTCAGTTCTATGTTGACAATGTAAATTTGCTGATATGTATGCAATCAAAGGTTATTTTTCATGTCTTTGATGCAGTGGACTCGCAGTCATAAAATCAGATGAAGGCAACCCTGGCAACCTTTCTCTCTAAGCTATTAATAAACCAGAATAATTCCCCACTTACAGCACTGGCAGCCCCAGAATTGACCACAAACCCCATGGGACCAGCTTTAAACAGCATGTCACTAGTCAATCAAATAACCATGGTGACAGTAGAATGAACAATTCCCAGACGCAATCACAAGACGAGAGCAGCTGATTCAGTCTTTGAATGAATTTTAATAATGCAGGGGTGAGGGTCCATCTGTTTGGGGGATGTTGTTGGTAAATCCATCAGTCAGTTGACTGGCTAACCGACTGCTGACCATAGACTGTAATGTTGCAGACATCATGCGATCGCTGCTGCTGAGCAGACACCACAATGACATACAAAAACCTCCTGACTTACCACAGCAGGATGAGGGACAGAGAAAAGAAACAGAAAGCTAGAATAGGTTAAAAAAAAAAAGAGAAGTAGAAATGGGGAAAAATCCATAGAACAAAATATAGCATGAAGCTACAGCATCATTAGTGTTGTGTCAGTGGCAGGGAGTGAATACGGTTTTAGATAATATAATCATATGTATATATGAATGTATGTACATTTTTGTTATTTAAATTGTATTATTAAAATTATTTTGTTGTATACATAATCAAAGTATACATATTTAATACAAAAAAGTTCAGAGAATATTTTTGAGAATTAAAAAATGGCAAACTTTGCCACTGGCTTGAGGGTGGAGCTTATTATATATATATATATATATATATATTTATATTTA